TCTAGAGGAAGAAGAGCTCGTAGTTCATTTAGTAGAGAATCGTAGTGCCCAAGGTTGTTCAAATCCTAGTTGTAATCCTTCTTGAAATTCATTTAGTTAATCCATGTTGAAATCCTAATTTAAAAACTTTCATTGTCGAGGTGAGGAAGGATGGTGTCTTCTAGCCATTGATAAACGGATCCCACGCGGGGAAAAAAATATATTATGTAACGTGTTTTTATGGCGATTATGTGTTTGCACTTTACCTCGGCAATCTCCATATGAATATGGAGCATGCTCTATATACAGTACGGAGTCTGTCCACTTGGCAACTCTGCTAGAGTTGCTTTAACCGTGCTCGATGTGGACTATCTTCTGAGTGAGGACATCAACCATAGGTCGTTGGCATTCATGCCCGAAATCTAACGGCTTTATTGTCTTTTCTTTCTTTTTAAAATTGTTCTTTGCTCTTTATGCTTTAGTAAATAACTCTTCTACTCATTCTCCTATTTTTCTATCTTAATATGAATTGAACAGAGCGTCTGCCTTTTCCGTAAAATGAAAGCAACAATAACTATTTTAAAGGATGTACAATTTCCCGTTTCAATATATGCAGCTACTGCTAGTATTTGTTAGTGGACTATCTTGACCTGTCTCCGGAAAGTTTGGGTTAATCTTGATGAAGTAGCGCTTCAGAACCAGAGAGCGATGCAAAAAGCAAGTACAATGGCCAACTCTCTTGGATTCCTCTGTGTTATAAGAGCATGAAACCCAATCAGGAATGTCTCTGAATATAACAATGCGAAGTGAAGTGCCCATGCCCAAAAACAAAAGAAGAAGAAAACTAGGCTTCCATAAATTGTAAGCAGATTCTTGTCGCTCAAAGGCATGACGCATCGACTGTCATTGTCATTGCAAAAAGAAAGAAAAAACCGTCATTGAAATTGTTTCAGTAGAAGCAAACACGTTTCCTGTAAGTCAATACATCTAGACCCAGCAGACCAGCAGAAATGCAGCATCTTATACTGAAACAAAAAAGACTAGTTGACAGTTCAGTTAACGGGGGCAAACCTTGTGTCCTGGGCTTGCTCTTGTGTGCTGAGCAATTTGCAGGTGCTTTCCCCTGCATGCCTCTGGAAGTTCGCCGTCATAAGCGTTGCAAACGTAGGCTTCGAAATTGGTGTAATCCTTGCAGAATGACAGGTAACGCCAAATCAGACCGATAAATTCAGGAAAGTGTTTCTCCGATGAAAGTAAGCGGCAACTCACATCGCCAAGGGGTCTCCCATTCACGACCACCCAAGGCACAAACTTATGAGGGGGCTGGAGAGCATTCGTCTCTGCCGCATACCGGAGTTCGAGCTGCAAATTCAGTTGTTTGTTATCAGATGATTAGAGAGGATCGACTGCCATTGGCCAACCCAACAGTCAACTCACCTGCCTACCGTATCCTGAGTTGTAGCAGTCCAAGACAGGCTGAGAGACCAGACCAGCTTCGTGAAAGCATGACTGCCACGCGCCCCATTTCTGAGTCAGAGCCAAATGCTCGATGCAATATATGAAAGGGAAATGCCGTTCCTGTATTCAGGAGAAAGCACACTGACACTGCTTAGTGCACTGCCTTAAATTCAGTTGATCTGAGTGACAGATGAGCTCGAGAGATTTATCATAGATGGACAATTACTGAATTATTACACGCTAAAACATGAATTAGATTAAAAAAACAGAGGGTATATGCATGAAGAGGCATTACCGCATCAGGCCAGACACTGATAACGCAAGCTTGTATGGCGTTGAGTCGGCACTCATCCTCCCCATGCTGCAAAATTAAGAAACCCAGCAGAGGTAAATACTCCGAGGAGATAATGCAAAGAACGAACTCGTAATGAAGGACATGAGGCCTACGATGGAGAGCGGACCTGGCAGGTCATGGATCCGTCGGGCGAGACGCGCCCATTGCCGAAAGGGACGAGCCGGAGGTCGACATTGGAGGAGAGGCCGTTCCGGAAGATCCTGGCAAGGTCGTTCACGACGAAGCCCGAGCAGAACGGGCACAGCGTCTCGTAGTAGACCGCCACCGAGACCCTCCGGGCAGCGCAGGCCGGAGAGAGACAGAGCAGGACGAGGACTGGAACCAGGACCTGAGGAAGAAGAGGCAGGGGAGCCATGGCGGCGGAGAAAACCCACAAGCCACTGTAGTTTAAGATCGAGGCTAGGTATGCGTGTGGATGAATCTATTCTATGCGCGAGAGATGCTTTTCTTTGGAGGGGGTAGGAGAGGGAGCAGGAGATGCTCTTGATCTATTGGCAGGCAGCCTTTGTTGGAGCGGTTATCCTTTTCTCCCAGGTTGCGCGGGAGGGAGGTCTTATGAAGTGATGCTCCGGGTCAGGCCGGCGCATCAAATCAAGTGACCCAACTTTGAAGCTTTTGCCACTTGCTAGTGTATTATAGACTTCTAGTAGTAGTACATTTTCTTTTGATGTTGTGGCGTGTCACGTGGGGCTGATGTGGGGCTCAACTGTTCCAAGTTCCGTATCACGCATACCTCGGAGGGCTGCTATGCCTATGATTAGATTAGGGATGAAAATGAAGTGGGAACTTTCCGTCTTTGGAAGAACGAAAACGGAGAGGAAATATGAAAACGGAGACACGAAGCTGCAAAACAGAAATGGAAATGGAATATTTTTATGCAAAGACGAAAACAAATATGAAACGATGTTTTTCGGTGGAACAAACGTGGGAACAAAACTTTCCGTTTATGTGAATATGGAATTTCCGCTTTTACTATAGGCTTATAGATGCTTTGTAGCTCAACCATCAAACCACACAATGCGCAGAATAGATCATTTGGCCAAACTTCTACTACCATATACGTACTCAACTAAATCGTATGTGCAATTGTCCAGTACTACTGCTACAATACTACACTAAGTTGCTAACATAATCATATTATTTTGTAGCCAAGGTACATTTCACTAAATATTTTTGTTTTTATGTTTATTTTCTATGACTCAAGGCGCTTTTAAGTTCCGGTCAATGTTGACGTCTGTATCCGTGTCCGCTTTGCATTCGCTCCATGACTATTTTCGGTAGTATCTGTTTTCGTATTCATTTTCGGCGTTTCTGTATTCATTTTTGCTTCTGCAAAAAATATGAAAGCAAATATGATAGCGACCAGTTTGCGCTCCGGTTTCATCCCTACCTATGATCACAGGAATTTCACAAAGACTTTTTAAGGATTAGAATCGTTAGAAAATTTTCCTACATTGGTCATTTGGTTCATGGAATTGAATCCTATAGAAATTTTTCCTAAGGAATCATGTGTACTACATGTCATAGGAAATCTAGCATCCAGTGCAACTCTTTTTGTACAATTCCTTTGTTTTGGTTGTGGCATCAAACACTCTCTACTTAATCCTACAGGATTCAAGTGTATATGTCACTCCAATCATGTATTTTTCAATTCCTTTGATGATGTTCTAGGTGTGTAGTGGCTGCATTTGCAGCCGCATGCGGAGGCGAATGGTCAACAATAGTAGAGACCCTCACAAAAAGAAACAATATTAGAGACCCCCGCCTCACCCAGCCAGCAGTGGCGGTGATTGTCGCCCTAGTTCTTAGGAGGTGTTGGTAGACATAATGTGAGAATCATTGGTGGATCGACACGGGTGGTAGCACATGGTTGCTTGGCTATTATGCATGCTGCCAGTGGACACGAAGTATGCGCTATCGGTTGCATGGCGTGAGCATCGCACATGGTGAAAAGCGGTGGAAGAATGGGCCTGCAAGGCTTTCCTGTCAGTTTTGCCTACTTGCATGCTCGGTGTCCTGTCTTGGGCCGCAGTTGGATGACGTCGTGTGAAGATGGAGCATGGCTATCGGATGACCCTGTGGGGTGCTTGGCGGTACCAATGGTCTTTGTCTGCAGTTTGCGTCCGATGGATGGCCTTTTTGGTGGGATCTTCGTGGTGGCGGTGACCTTGTTGATGCTGGCGAGTGTGCCATGTTTTGCTCCTCGTATATGTGGTATGTCTGGGTGTGTGGTGTTATCCACGTCAGGGTTGTGGGCGTGTATGACTGTTGAAGCGTGACAATGTGGCTTGCAGGAGTGACTTCTTTATTAAAAGTGGGGCGATAACCAAAGTTACTTATATCTGGTGGTGCTTTTGAGCACAGAGTTTCGAGCTCTGAAATGAAAAGTCTAGATCTGACCTGCTTTGATTGTAGCCGGCAATGGTGATGTTTCACATCATACCCTAGTTGGAGACATTGCTTGGAGTTTGCTCGGACTTATTCTTGGGGTGAATTTTTTTCAAGATATAGCCTCCATGAGTGGATCGGGCGACAACGACACTTATACGTCGTACCCTTCTTGGAGGCATTGTTGTTGAAACACTTTTCACAAAGTTCGGATGATGCCATTGGCGGTGGTTGATGTTGATGGTTGTTGTATATCTGAGTTCGCTTCAACATGACTTTCATAGATCGTGGTTTTTTTCATTGTGTGTGTATGTTGATGTTGCTAGTGCATCCTAATTATGCAGAGGCTAGGTGTGTGTGCTCATAGTCCTTGTGTTCTCTCGATGCCATATTATGAGTCAACCCTTTATGGGAGAAAATATCCACTTTTGACTTGAAAAACATTCAGCTCTATAAAAACACTTGCTAGTGCATTAGGGCTCAACCGCTTTGGAGAATTTTCAAATCAGAGGAATAGGAAAGGAATTTTCCATGAGTTCTCACAGGATAGTAATAATCTTAAGGAATCAGGTTAGTATGGACATAGTCCAAAGAAATCTAGTACCTCAATTCCTATAAAACAAAAGCTAAATATAGAGAAAAAAGACATACGTCAAAATCCATTATTGGGTTATGAAGAGCATTGTTTCCCCCAAAACAAAGAAAGAAAATGTGAAGAACATTCCAAAACCAAAATCACTGATCGACAACACCAGATGGTTTTGTTGAGACTAGGATATCAACAAGTCAAAATCTTGGGACCTCTTTATTCGTTTATTCAAAAATAAATTAATCTTCAGCCGCTTTGAAATGTATGATTTTCATAGCAAATCTTCAATGTTTCAATCCTTCGAGGTTTTTCTCTTAAAAAACTTCAGGTCATGGGATTTGGGTTGACAAATTTTTGTGGGATGTAGTCAAACTTCTGAGGGATGTATTTTTATGCATCAATTTCATTGGATCCTAGTATATTTTTCCTTTTGAAAGTCCAATGCACATACACTCTCTCTACTATCTCTCTTTAATCACCCAATATATTACTCCCTCCGTCCGGAAATACTTGTCATCAAAATAGATAAAAGGGGATGTATCTAGATGTATTTTAGTTCTAGATACATCTCTTTTTATCCATTTTGATGACAAGTATTTTTGGATGGAGGGAGTACCATGTTTGTTTCATGTGCACTATCTAAAGACATCGGTAGCAAAATTCTTGTGTTTCGAGATCCTATGTTTCTCCTATTCAAAATACTATAACATTTCAATCAGTTTTTGAACTTTGACCTAGAGGGTGATCATGCAATTATTTCTGTTAGGTTACCCAATTAAACAAAGTTAAGAAGATGAATGCAAGGGGATGGATCCCAAGAGAGATCAGATCCGAACTCTCTTTCCCCTATTTCTTTTGCTTTGAACTTCTTTTTGTCACTACTTGTTTCCTTTCTATTATGCTATACACTTCATAATTTTTAGCTTTTTCAGATGTTCCTTGTTGCTTTATGATGATGCTTGGTTCCTTTGTCACTTTACACTTTCAGTTCAAGTAGGGAACTGTTGAAACATGAAATGGAAAACATGCATTATTGATCATGGTTACGTGCAGGACGGCAGTTCTCATACAGCAGAAAAACTTTCCCGCAACAGTCTTCAAACCTGGCATACACAAAATGTATATTTGTTCACAGTCACAGGCTAGATTTCCCCTTTGCTCCTTAAGCAATCCACCGTGTCACTGACAGTTTTGTCGAATGGGGTGAAATGAACACCCAGATCGATCAATTTCTTGGACGGAGCCTTCGATCTCACCAACCAGCCCTGTTTGTCCTCCTGGATCCTGAAGTAAAAAAAAGAAGAGATCAGCAGCATTAGAACACTGCATCTGGTGGAGAGGTGATGGATGGTTCTAGTAGATGTATCACCTCTGAACCGGGAATTCGGGGTAAAGATTAGCAAGTTGATCGTGGACATCGATGAGCCGTGCGGCGGACTCCAAGCACAAGTGACGTCCCTGCGCTGACGTGTTCTCATAGAGCACTACCAGAGATTGTGCCACATCTCTGACATCGACGCAGCCAATGAAGAAGAGGTCCATGTCAAGCCTTTCGCCTGGACAGTGTAGTTTGCAGTTTGCACTCTTAGATGAGTACTCTGTACTAAGCAACGGAAAAGTGCAGGAGTTGTTGCAACTGACTGACCTCCCAGAAGCAGCATCAGCAGACGGAGACTGGGAGTAGCTGCTGGGGTCAACGTTGGGCCAAGCACCAGCGCCGGATTCAGCACAGCCAGCTGCAGTCCTTCCTCTCCGGCGAAGTCCCACGCAGCCTTCTCTGCCAGCGTCTTAGATACGTTGTACCAAAGCTGCAATTCAGACAGAGGAACTCAGCATAACTCCAAAAGCCTCCGTAGAGAAATATAAGAGCGTTTAGATCACTAAGGGAGTAGCATCTAAACTGGATCCTGCAAGCGTTGACATGATGCACCTCAAGTTTCTTGAGGATCTCAGAGTCGGCCCAGGAGTCTTCATCTATGACCTTGCCGGCAGGCCAGTCGGGACTCGGACACATGGCCGTCTGCGACGACACCAGCACGACACGCTTTATGCCGCTGTCTTTGGCGGCGCGGAGGACGTTGAGCGTGCCGTTGACCGCCGGCAGCAGCAGCTCGTTCTGCGTCGATGGAGCACAGAACAAGTTAACTTGCGTATATTATTCAGACTGTGCAGTGATGGAACTCTGAAGTCTGAACTATCCGGCGGCAATATAAGGAGTTGTTATGGAGAAAGTAGTTGCCTCGGGGTCTCGTGCGGGCTGCAGTATCACGGGGGAGGCCAGGTGGAAGACGCCGTGGACGCCCTCGACCGCCGGCCTGACGGACGCGGGGTCGAGGAGGTCCATCTGGAACAGCCGGAGGCGCGTGTCCGCGCCGTCCAGAGCCTGCAGGTGCTTCGTCTCGCCCTCGTCCTCTGCAATGGCAATTCGATCAAACAATCTTGCGTCGACTCGATTCAGTCACAGAGAGAGAGGAGGATAGCTTGATACATACGGAGGTTCTGGACGGTCGCGTGGACGGTGTAGCCGCGGTCGAGGAGGAGGCGGACGAGCCAGGAGCCGATGAAACCGCTGCCGCCGGTCACGCAGACGAGCCCGCCGCGAGCACAGCCGCTGTCTCCGCCGGTCAACTCCATCTCGCCGGTAGTCGGTACGATCCACACGTCTGCCGCTTGCCCACTCTAGTCCTACTCGGCCTTGAAAGAAACAGAGTGGTAGAGGGGAGGTGTGCCGTAAGACAGTGACGCGGCTGCAATCAATGAAAGCTGCTGTCGATTTGGACGCCGAAGAATTTGTCGGCATTCTCCCGGGGAAGAATTCACATTCACCCACATCGATGACCACCATTATTTCAGGTCGCTATAAGGATAATGGCAAGTTTTCCCACTAGCCAAGTAGATTGCGCCATCTATGCAGCATACAGTATACAGTATGCTGCCCCAGTCCAAGCGTCGAATCCTTAGAGTAGCCAACAATCGGCTATAAGGATTTGACATGTTATCTAGAGTCAACCTAATAGCCGGCTTGTACAACCAGTGCATATAAACACTCGAGATGTCAATATTGAGGAGTTATGCTCTACATGGAGCACTTCGATACTGACATGAAAGAAGATCAATATAAAAAATTGGGAGCTATTTTCTCAAATAGGAAAAATGGTATTGAGTGCTCACTAGCTCTTAGCTGTGTGAAACACTCGGTAGGTGTGGGGGTTGTGAAGAGGAAAGGGAAGAGAAGGAACTTATAAACATAGAAAAACCCTTCCCTGGTTCCCTAGATTTTTATACAACTTATAGATAAAAACTAGAGAGTACAAAGAAAATATAGGAAAAAATGAAAGGAGTTTTCTGGAATGTTAGAGGTATAGATAAAGATCATAAGAAAAGTTATGTGAGAAATGATTATGGATCATAAACTTGATTTTGTTGGTATTTCTGAAACCATCAAAAAAG